TGAGTGAGGGAAGCCAGCTTTTAAGTGGTAAGCTTTATTGGGTTGGAATCAGTCACGTATATGTATAGTACCAACAATAATTTTTATCAAGGTAAGTGTGGCAATCTCTTCTCAACCCAACAGATTCGGTTTGGTCTGGTCTGGTTAGAAATGGCTACTTATTAGTTACTATTACCTCCTCACCTACATAATTACCTTAGCCATCAAATACCAGCATAATCATAGTCAACACTTAGTCAGATTTAAGCAATATTGACAAGTGGTGAGACTCGACTCGACTCGAGAGCCAACAACAAATAATTTGTCTGTACGTACAAAAACCTTGCTTCCTGGATCTGACCGATCAGGTGACACACCAATTAATGGATGGAAGGGCCAAAACCGAACCCATCAGGATCAGATACCTTAGCTTTGCTTTGAAAGGAACTTGTCCATGTAGGTATTTAAAACACGGTGGTCGGTAGCCGACCAGATTTTACAAAACTCTCGGCATGGCGATACCCCACTGCCACTGCTGTGCTTGAAAGGGAACCCTGGCCTGGCCTGGCCTGGGCTGGGCTCGCGAGAGATGTTTCATTAAGGAGACAGCTAATTAAGGCTGATAAACACAAACCTTAAAAAGAAAAAAAAAAACCCACCACAAGAAGAAAGAAAACATAAGCAAGACAGTTGGGAGTGGTGGTGGTGTGGGTCTTTTTCTCCCCCCATTTCTGGTGGCAACTGAATGATGTTCCATAATGATACGCATTGCCTTTTCTTTATAAGACAGATCGAAATAATATTATCTATGATATTCAAATTAAAATAACAATAGTGAAAAAAATTCTATAAGGTGATGACCCTACTCGTTGCATCACATCTTCCTCTGTCTCCTACTTGTCGACTCTGTTACATTACAATTAATGTTACCATGATATGATTGGAACATCGTTTAGGATAAGGTATTTAGCATATGAATTGTCTAATTAAACCCATCAAGAATGATCGATAGTGGATGAGACTTAATTGGACTCTAAAATCGTACAAAGATTAGAGGGTATGCACTTCTAAATAAAATAATAACAAAGAAAGTGAGGTTTGTTACGAAGATATATATTAGAGTGATATGTAGCTTCATAATAATAATAATAATAATAAAGTGTCAAACGGTTTCTTCTTTATTGTGAGAACTCGTCGCAGTTTAATTCATTTCATGTATGATGTAATGTCCAAACTCTTAAGCATCACAAGTCACTCATAGATTCGAGATATACACAAAATAATTTTATGATTACTTCAGAGTCGATAAATAAAATTGCTATGTATTCCCGACCAAAACCCTTTGAATATTTCTATCGATCATGACTCAATCATCACTTAACGTACTATAAGTTGAACCATGCAAATAATGACCCTCTGCCTCCACCAATTTCTTGTTGATATAACACACAAAAAATGGTAAGAATCACCTTTCAACTCAAACCACACCAGGTTCCCATTTAAATAAGTGGTTCCCCAACCACAATTAGCCCATATTCTTGATTTCACCTTTTACATCTTTCCATGATATCTTCTCTGATCCCGAGTTGCCTCTCCCTTGTCCCTTCTTCCAATTTTCCATCCTTTTGGCTTTCAAACTTGGTCCAAAACAAGAGAAGATGGCCAAAAAAGAAAAAGTAAAACATGAGGAAATGAATTAATAAAAGAAATATCGAAAGAGTTTGCATTGAATATTTCAAATAAAACAATAAATTCTGTGTTTGAGGTTTGTTGGCAAGGGAATGGGAAAATTCCATGGTATCAGAAGCAGTGTTTGGTACTTTGGCTTGGTTTAGGCGTTTCACAGTAATTAGTTGATTAAAACAAAGTATGGTGGGCTTGTGCAAATTTCAAACTCATGAGTTGGCTTTCGTTTGAGGGGGGCGTGTAAGAGAGTGGTATAAGATCTAACATAACTTTCTCCCAACAACTCAAATTATTGGGATCAACTGGTTTATGACAAGACCATCAATAACGATTCGGGATTACAAAATGGACTTGGGAATCTCAAAACAGCTCGATTTTGCCATAGATGAGCAGTAAAAAAGGAAACCTTTGATTTTTGACGGTACGACACACATGTCCTTTTGGTTGTAATTATCTTTTAATTATGCAAACGCCTTGTTGCATTATTTATGCAAGTAATTCAGGAAGCTCTTGCGAGGGTTATAGCCGTCACAAATAATATATTATCATGTTATTCAAGTTGTTGCAAGTTAGTATCACGTTGCCGAATCAAAATGATTAAGAAAATTGCTAATGGAAAATTCACATTTTGCCAATTATTAGTAATTTACCATATTTGACTAATAATTGGTGTTTAAAAAAATTTGATGAAGGAAAAAATGGAAATATAGGAGAAAAGGGTACCTTTGGTTTGGGGAGGAATCCTGACGAGAACTTGACAATTACACTGACAGTTACTGCAATATTACGTGATGAACAGGGGTAAAAAGGTGAAACGCATACAAGCAACCTCTCTAACAAGAAAGAAAAAAAAGAAGCTCAATGCACCATAGAAAAGAAAAAGGAAAGTAGAGAGAGAGAGAGAGAGAGGAATAAAATCAAAGCAAAGCAAAATGGGGAAGAAGAGAGGGAAGAAGTTGTCTTGTCTACGAAGGCCAACTGGGCAGCTCAGCAGCCTAGTCAGCACCAAAAAGGAAATGAAACTCATTAAATTAACCTCTCTTCTTCCTCCATTCCCAAAACCCTCCAATAGAGAGCGCTTCCCAACTACATTTTCATTTATGCTCCGTTCTTCTCCTTCTTCATTCCATTGCTTATTCTTCTAAATCATTCCCTTACCGCTAGATTGAAAGCCCATTTGCTCCAGCAGGTAATTGATGCTCTTTTCCTTTATCGAATCATCTATCATCATTACAAGCTTCCATTTCCATTCCCTCTTCTTTTTGTGCTGTTTCTTCTGTTTCCTTCCTTGCCCTTTTCAGCCCATTGGCTTCCCAGTTTGGCAGGGGGGAATCAGGAATGGTGGGAGGGATTTGAAGGGGAATGGGAATCCAAAGTTTCGATCTTTCCTTAGTTTTAGTAACTGGGATCCTTTGTTAATACTCTGTTCTTCTTCTCTTATTATTTTTTGCTGATTGAACTCTTCTGTTTGTGTTTGGTTACTGAGAAAACGGAAATCTTTGTCATCGAGAGGGAAAATTTCAGGTTCGCGGCTGCTGTTGGCTTTGATTTCTTTCTAAAGTATCTTCCTTTTTTTCCTGATTTCTCAGGGGAGTGATTGATCAATGAAAGCAGAGGAAAAACAGAGCAAAACAGAGTAGACAGTGAAGGAGGAAAGGAGAAGAGAGGGTCTAGTAAGATGTTGTCGTGCATAGCCTGCACGAAGCCGTCGGCGGATGACGAAGGGGAGGAGGTCGGCGGCCGCGGCGGAGTAGCGTCGGCGCGTGACGGGAGTGATACTCCAAACACTAAAGAAGCCGTCAAAAGCCTGACCAATCAGGTCCCGTCGCTTCCTTTCCCTTTTTTCACTCCTTCATTTAATACTCTCTCTGCATTTCGTTTTCAAGGAGCTTCTTTCCTTGTTGGTTACTTTGGTTCTTGTTCCCTTCTTCTTAAAATTCAATGTGTTCAACTCCATAGATCGTTTTCTTCGTGCTTTCAAAAATTTTATTGGTATCACTACACTCAATCCCGCCATTGAAATTATGCACAACAACCCAACAAGATCATCCCTCAATAGCTTTGATGCCTAAAGATTGGAGCTTGGTGTGCAATGTTGCAAATTTGATATGGTGGGGCCCAAAAGAGTGGTGGTGGTAGGGACCAAGGAGTGCAAATATGGCTTAATTAGGGGGGGCATCTCTTCTCTTTTTTGGCATCTTTCACGTTTACATGTCAATCGCTAACAGGGGCTGCCCGTACTTAGCTGCTTCCCTTCCTTACTTGCTTCAATGCTCTGTTTTCTAGTCTTCTTTTGCTCTCCTCTGCTGCTAACTTTGCTTTCTTCCTCTTCCCTGCTGCTCTTCTTTTCCCAACCAATCACTGCCCAGCAGTTATTGTTGCCCCTGCTGCTTGCTGGCTGTTTGTATTGATATTTTTTCCTTTCTCACTTTGCGTTTATTTGTGTGTCTGAATTGTGGAGGAATTATTGGGTACTCCGGGAGTACCACGTTGGCATGCTGATGTGGTACTCCCGGCCAATAATAGCCTGCCACGTGTAATTTGTTTCATTAATTAAGTTATTGCTGGATTATCTCTTTGGAAACTTCAAATTTCCGTTTTTTATCATTTACTTTAATTCTAATATTAATCAAAGCCCTCCAAACTTCATCGAAGAACAACAAAAATATGCCATCTGTCATTAAAACTCATTTACTGCTGCAAACTTTTTTATTTAAATTTTTAATTTCCTTTTATGTGAATAATTAGCATCAATCAAATCCCCTCCCTCCTCCCGGAATTAAAGCCTCTCTTTCTTCCTCCTCCGTAATTCTCCGAGGTCCGAGCCGCCGAGAAGCCGCCGCCCGAGGCTGCCCTTCTTTTCTCCTCATCCTTCGTTCTCCCAGCCACTAAGAAGCCACCGCCGGAAGACTTTTTTCCAGTTCCGAGCATGATGAGATTCAAATCGGTGTATCCGCCACGTCATGATATCCAAATCCAACCCAACGAAGATTGAGGTCCTTTTCCTCCCAGCCGCCGAGAAGCCACCGCCGGGAAGACTTTGGTCCGGCCCCCCGAGTACGATGAGATTGCGATGGTGTCCAACCCAAATCCACCTTCGACGAAGCTTCTGGCGGCCCTTCTCCTTCCCAAAACAGAAATTGTCTGGTCGGAACAAGAGTCTCAAGGGAGTTGAAACGCTGCTGTTAATTATTTTTGTTTATTAAAGATAATTAAGAGCAGAGTAAATTTAAGATAATTAATGAAGCTAAGTGGAAACGTGGCAAGAGTTTATTGGTCGGGAGTACCACATCATCAATCCCACGTGGTACTCCCGGTGTAGCCAATAATTTCTCCTGAATTGTGATCCTTCCTGGTAACAAAAAAGCAAAGTGGCCTCTGTCTCACTCTCTTGCTTTTGTGTTTCTTTTTGTTTCTTGTTTTTGATTCCCACCCTGACCCCAGTGTGCTTCTTATTCCTTTCTCAAGTTTCCTTTTGTTTTCATTTGTAAAACTGGGATTGAGAATTGGAGATAAGACATTGATTGGGGAAAGCTACCCTTTTAGAGATACTCATTTTATTAGTTTGGTTTGCATTGTTTTGGTGCGTAAAACCGCGATTTAAACTATGTTGTTTGGTTATACGAATTCTAAATCCTCTTATTACCTCATTTAAAATTCAATTGATCAAACTAGAGTAAATACTATACTAGTTTCTTGGTAGGGACTAGGGAGACAAGAAAACATAAGGGGTTGATTCATTAGGTGTGGCATTTGGAGGTCAAAATGATTTTCCCAGGAATCCTGGGTGGAGAGGGTTTCCAAGTCCTTTACTACTATACTAATTCTCCACTAGATAATAGAAAAAAACAACATGGCTAGAGCACAATGGAGAGTTTGGTTCCTCTAATATTATGAGGTGGGTCTGAAACCAATAAGGGTATATCTTGGTTAAGTGTTGTTTTAAGGTACATGATCGGTTCAAAAGGGAATACCCAGCATCAGCAGCATCTCATTTCATCAGACAACACAAAAAGGAATTTTCCTTAGAAGGGTGATGGTGGCTTGGTTTGTTAATGAAGTAAAGAAAAAAGATGCTATCATAATATTCATTATCCTTGTTGTTATGACCCACCATTTAGAATTCTTGTCTGATCCAAATATTTTTTTTTACACTGCAAAGAAACATATCATATGTTTATTGGGATGTGAAAATGAAGGTAGGGACTTTGCTTTTCTTCCCAATAGTTGTTAGTGTAGGCAAGAATGAATAAAAGCATAGACACAAAAATGTTGGTTTTGTGTTGGAAGAAGACCAAAATTGTCTTTTGTTGACTCATGTTTTCCAATTGTGGGTTTGCTTGATCATGTTTTGGCCTTTCCCTTTTTCCCTCTCATGCTTTCCCACCTAAAAAAAGATGGTATGATATGTTTGAAATTGATCAATGCAACAACCTCAAAAAAGATGGTATGATATATTTGAAATTGATCAATGCAACATAAACAAGGTAATGAAGACATTTGAATCAATGTGCTATCATATCATGCGTACTCCAATTTGATAGACTTTTCTCCGATTCTCTCACCTTAGACCAATCTATTTGAATTCATACGTTTTAGATAGAAAGTAATTACTTTCGTTTAGATCAACCTTTATGTCTCTCTTATTGTTCATTTGATTTCGTTGATATAATTTCTGTTACTATTGAACAACTAGTTGAACGAAATTTCATTAGAACTCAATGGATAAAACGTAACTTTGTTGCTGATTATTCGACTAAACTCGGGTGTAATAGGTAATTGGAATCTACAATGATTTAGTGAAACTTCCTCTAATTCACCAGTTCGATTCTTTCAGATCAAGGACATGGCATCCAAGTTATCAGGAACATACAAGCAATGCAAGCCCTGCACAGGAGGATCATCCAGCACCAACTACAAGAAAGGGCACCACCGCCCTTACCCCGACTTCGATGCAGCCTCGGAAGGAGGAGTTCCATACCCTTACTTCGGCGGCGCGGCAAGCGCGAGCTCCACGCCGGCGTGGGACTTCCCAACATCTGGCCGCGGCGGCGGAGGCAGAACCGACACCAGATTCGCTTCAGGAAGGGATTCATGCGACGTGGTGATCGACGATGAGCCCAAGGAATGGATGGCTCAGGTTGAGCCCGGCGTCCACATTACCTTCGCTTCGCTCCCCAATGGCGGCAACGATCTCAAACGGATTCGGTTCAAGTGTGTGTTAAGTTTTAGCTCTCTCTACAACTCAGGGTTGCTCTGTTTTGTTGCAAAAGCTGACATTGTTTAGGGGTTCGTTTTGAGCTGTGTTTTTCTTGAAGCCGGGAGATGTTCAACAAGTGGCAAGCGCAGAGTTGGTGGGGTGAGAACTACGACAGGATCATGGAGCTTTACAATGTCCAGAGATTCAACAACCGCCAGTCTCTCAATACTCCTCCCAGGTCTCAAGATGAGGTAAAGTTTTCCCCACTCTGTTCTCGTCTTGATTGCAAAAAATTTCGATTTCGTATGAAAATTTCGATAAGGATTGTGAAATCGCGTAGTTGAGGACTAGAGGTTACGTAGAAAAATTCAGTGACAGGTTATTTTGTACTAAAATCTTGATTTAACCGGTACAATCTAGCGGTAGAATACAACTTTCTAAAACATTACTCTGATCTCCACTTATTGTAATGTCGTGTGAACCGAATCGTTACTCACTGTGTTTTTTTTCCTCCCCACAATTTCAGCATAGAGATTCGACTTACTCGAGATTAGGCTCTGCAAGGGAAAGCCCCATGGCGCCAACATTCACACCAAGGAATTACTACAGACCATCTCCTGGGATGATGGAACATGGCAGCAGCCACCATTACCCTCCCGGTTCGACTGGTTACGGTCTGGGAGGTGGCCCGGCTTCCTCGATGGAAGCCTCGAGAACGACGACCTCGTCGCGAGACGAGCCATCGATCTCGGTGAGCAATGCCAGCGATTTGGAGGCGGAGTGGATCGAGCAAGACGAGCCTGGAGTGTACATTACCATCAGACAGCTCGCGGATGGTACCAGGGAGCTTCGGCGGGTCCGGTTCAGGTTAGAAATTAACGGTTAATAACTGCTTTTTGAAGTTTTTCATTTCAAATTTCCCGCCATAGAAAAGAAGCATCAAGCCCTGATTCTGTGCTTGTTTGTGCAGTCGAGAAAGATTTGGGGAAGTGCATGCCAAGTCATGGTGGGAGGAGAACAGGGATAGAATACAATCTCAATACCTATAGACAGAGAGAAGAGAGGTTTGGAACAGAGTAAAGGTGAAATTGTTTTAACACCATCTCAAAGGAAGTGGAGGTTTGCAGATTGGTTATCCTCCGGCTCCAGGGAAAGAGATATGAGAGTTCTTCCAAGTTGTGTTCACAATTCACTGAACATATTGCTTGAGAAAGAAATACTGCAAGAACATTGGGTGTAAGAGTAAAAGTGCAGAGTTACTGGGATGTCCAATTTTTTTGCCTGGAGTATTGAGTCTGTCACCATTGTAATTCTTTCTTCTTATCTTTTTTACTGCGATCTTTAGGGCATGGCTCTTGGTTTACAGATCTGGGGATAAGTTTGTTCTTTCTTTAACTTATATAGCACAAATGGAAATGGAATGGGGGATCAGTGCATTATTATTTATTATTATTTTGATAAAAAGTTCTCGTACTAATTGATGAATTGAAAAATCTAAATCACCATTTTTATAAATTTATTGAACTGTGTTAATGATTTCTTATCACTTCCCTACATATTTTGCTAAGACCTGCATGAGCATGAACAAGTAAAAATTAGTTGTACCACCGATCGGAACATACCACGATTTAATAGGTCTCACGGCCTTTATATTACTTTGGAATCCATTTGTTGTATTATTGACCGCCAATATTCAAGGTAGAAGAGCTACAACAGAAGGACTGAAGGTGGTAAAATACAGGAAGATTAGATCATGCAGAAGAAAGTCGAATATAGTTACATGAACAGAATGAGAAGACTTGAAGCAGATCAGATCAGATGGAGGAACGGAATGCATGAGAAGAAGGCGAAACAGAGCAGAAAGTGTCAAAGAGCTGTTGCTTATTACAGAGAATCAACTCGTGCTATTTATTCAAAGCCAGAGTGCAGTCTCGAGAATCATCTTTGTTATTTCCTAGCTAGCTTTTCATTTAATTAGCCCTCGCCGCTGCAAGGTAACGGTGGCGAATGGCAGTCCATTTAGCGACGAGCTTGTCACGTGGCGGCCAGCTCTCCTCAATCACAGGGATGTCGGAAATCCTTCGAATCCATTCCGACAATGACGGATGACGCTCCTCGTCCAAGATTTTCACGGCGAGGATCTCTTCGAAGACCGGCATCACGTTGACCAGCCAGCCCAATGCGAAGTCAACGATTCCGATCTCTTCCCCGCCGAAGAACTTGTTGCCTTCCAGCTCAGCCTCCAGCAACTTGAGGTTCTCTGCAATCGAAGCCAGGCCTTCCTCTTGCTCCTTCCCTTCGTTTGTCAAGGCTTGCCGCATCGATTGAAACGCCTGCGCGCATATATAAAATCATTCCGTTAATTTCAATAACTCCAACTTACCAAAACATGGAACAGGTACCTTTAAGTTTCGCTCATATAAGAACCCATCTATCCCAATAATTCATGTATAATACTGTCAAAAATCAGTTAATTCTAATTACTCGAGTTTTTGAAAGAGGAGAGAGGTTCGTGTTGGGCCATAGCTGAGCGGTACTGGGCTTGGAGGCCCACGGAAGGCCCAAGGAGAAAGGCCCGTCGAAAGGCCCGAAGCCCGCTGAGGGACCCGAGGAGCAGGCATGGGGAACAGGGAAAGGAGGGCGGCCGCCCTAGGATGGGACAGGCAGTAGGCCGCCTGACACAAGGAGCCGTTGCTCGGTATGGGGCGAGATCTTCCGAAGATACCCACCTCGAACACCGCAGGACTGAGCATTAATTGCCCGCCGTAGGCGGTCTAGGTATGGTAGGGTCAGCCTAGGACGCCTGACAATGGCATTTAATGCCCGAAACCCAGACCAGACCACTATAAATACATTCATATCTGCATTGATGGTAAACTAACTACTACTCTCTCTCTCTAAATAAACACAAAGGTTCTCATTCTCTCTCTAACTCAAGCATCGGAGAGTGCCCTGGGTGACCGCCCACGGGCCCTTGTTTTGCAGGAGTTTGGAGTCCCCCCATCATCTGGAACAGACGCTTCACTCGTTCTCTACAATCCGCCTAGTACATTCTAGGCTCAAACAATTTGGCGCCCACCGTGGGGCGAGAGATAGCACTGAAGAAAGGATGGATGGGAGCTCCAACACCCCTGTCAAAGGCATGGTAGGAAGAAACAGCCCCCGCGCACCAGACGCGCAGATAAGCAGCATACGAGGATTGGAAATGCCCACAGTGGAGGAGGAAATGGAAATGGAAGACCGCGTAAAGAGTCAGGGGCAGCAAATATCGAGTATGCAAGAGAGCTTAGGCCAAATATTGGCCATGCTCAGGGAAAAAGAAAGCGAGGCACCAGGAAGCTCAGGAAAGCGGCCAAACAAAGGAAAAGGAAAAGTAAGCGGTCCCGACAGCCCTGCTCAGACAGAAGGCGGGGAGTCCGAGGAAGAAGAAGGCGCAGAAGATAGCTTGGGGTTTTTGGAGGAACATCTCAAGCCCACGTATGGCAGAATCAAGGGTCCCACCATCCTCCAAAACCCGCTGGCTAAGAGCTTGTTCAAAACTCAGGTTCCTCCCAATTTCTCGTCGCTCGGACTGCCTACATACAACGGGAACACGGATCCCGCCGACCATTTGAGCGCCTTCATGTTAAAGATGCAACTCATCAACGCCACAGACGCAGACCTATGTAAGGCGTTCCCGGTCACTTTCGGCGGTCAGTGTAGGACTTGGTATACCTCCTTGCCCGAGGGAATAATCGAGGATTTCGAGCAATTCGCGACCCTCTTCTCCTCGAAGTTCGCATCCCAGAGAAGAAGAAAGCTGACAGTATCATCATTAATCAACTGTAAGCAAGGAGGAGAGGAGCCGCTAACAGACTTCTATGATAGGTGGAACACCATAGCCTGCGAAGTGCAAGGAATCTCGCCAAGTGTGGCAGCGGGTAACCTGCGTATGTCCACGCACAGTTGTGAGCTGCGAAGGGCACTTATAAAGAAAGAGCACACGCTGAAAGAATGGCCCGATCTGGATCGCCTAGTGAGGAAGGCGATCTTACTGGAGGAAGCCATGATGGTGGAGGACGCCTCTAAGCGCGTAAGTCTGAAGGAAAGAGAGAAGAAGAAAGGAGGGTCGCCTAAAAGAAGAGGGCGGTCCCCCGAAAAGAGGAGTTACAAATCAAGATACGTTCATCGAGACAGCAGGAGGGAAGTCTTTACTACTAACAGAGAAGAAGGCAGGGACCGAAAGGGCGACGATAATGCGCACCAGACGCATAGGAGGGATGAAGATCGAAAGTGGTGCGACTGGCACCAGATGCCCACCCATGACACCACAGAGTGCCGGGAGTTCAAAGCAAGTTTGAAGTACTTAGCGCCAGGAGACCTCAAGAACCGTCTGGACACAAGACCGCATCGACAGGAGCAAAGGCATCACAAGGAGAGGTCGCCGAGCCCAAGAAAAAGGTCGAGAACACCAAAACGCGGCAGATCAAGGTCACGAAGGAGGGAGCGTTCTCCCGGGCGTGAACGCCTACCACCACCGCCAAGGAGATCACCCCCACGCCGACAACCGCGTGCAAACGAAGACGACGTAGAAGTAATAACAATTGCAGGCGGCCGCAAGAGACCCAGAAGTGAGGGAGACCGCCTAGTACAGTGCTTAAACGTCAACAGGAGCGAGCAAGTAGATATCAGCTTTTCACCTTCCGAACTGGCTCCTGGGGAGAGCGCTGAAGATCCACTAGTGATTTCCTTGAGGACAAGGAAGTTTAAAGTGACCAGAGCGTTGGTCGACAATGGCAGCTCAGCCGACATATTGTTCTACTCCACCCTCAAAAGTATGAAGATGAGCGTCCAGGACCTCAAACCTTCGTCTACGAGCCTCGTGGGCTTCTCAGGATCAAAGATCAGGGTGCTAGGATTGGTCACGCTACAAGTGACAATTGGAGAGTCAGACGTCACAAAAACACGCTCGATGGATTTTCACGTGGCAGACTGTCCATCGGCATACAATGCAATCCTGGGACGCGGTTTCCTGTCATTATTTTCGGCGGTTCCCTCTACTTGTCATCAGATGCTGAAATTCCCTGTGGGCGGAAGAGTGGGGCAAGTCAAAGGAAACACTGAGCAGGCCAAGGAGTGCTACCAAGCAACCATACAAAGCTTAGAAGTGGACCTAGTGGATACCAGAGGAAGTCACCCCCGGCCCGAGGCAGTGGAGGGGGACGCAGAAGTTATACTGGACAGTGCGGAGCCCGAGAAGAAAGTAAGAATCTCCTCTCACCTGGCGGAAGACAAGGCACGCGAGCTGTTGGCGCTCCTCAAAGAGTATAAAGACCTGTTCGCATGGACCTCAGAGGACATGCCAGGCGTCTCGCGGGAGCTTGCTGAACATCATCTGTCGGTAAAAATCAAAGCGAAGCCGGTTCAGCAGAGGCGGAGGAACGCTTCGCTTGAAAAACAGATGGCATTGGAAGAGGAGGTTAAGCGGTTGCTGAAAGCCGGTTTCATAAGAGAAGTCAAGTACCCAACTTGGCTTTCAAATCCAGTCTTCGTCCGGAAGGCCTCGGGACTGTGGAGGATGTGCATAGATTTCACCAACTTGAATGCAGCCTGCCCGAAAGACGCATATCCTTTGCCAAGGATAGACCAGCTTATAGATGCAACCGCTAATCATGAGAGTCTAAGCTTCCTAGACATGTTCTCCGGTTATCATCAAATACGCTTGTCGGAAGAAGACCAGGAGAAGACCGCGTTTATGACTCACATGGGCAATTACTGTTACACGGTCATGCCGTTCGGCCTCAAGAACGCGGGGGCAACATATCAAAGAATGATAGATGCGGTCTTCAAAGGTCAACTAGGAAGAAACGTGGAGGCATACGTAGACGATGTCCTGGTCAAAAGCAAAAAGGAGGAGGATCACCTGAAAGACCTGAGAGAGACATTCGAGAGCCTGAGGAAGGAGCGCCTGCGATTAAACCCGCTCAAGTGCGTGTTTGGAGCCAAAGCGGGAAAATTCTTAGGGTTCATGATTACCCGGAGAGGAATAGAGGCAAACCCAAAGCAGATAGAGGCCATCATGAGCTTGAGACCGCCCCAGAGCGTAAAGGAAATTCAAGCGTTCAATGGGAAAATGGCCGCCTTAAGCCGTTTTATTCCCAGAGCCGCAGATAAGTGTTCTCCCTTCTTTCAAATGCTCAAAAAGTCAGCGTCTCGCTCACAATGGAGCGCAGAATGCGATAAGGCGTTCTTTCAGTTAACGGAGCAGCTCACCTCACCACCAGTGCTGAGTGCCCCGCGGCCAGGCGAGTCATTGTACCTCTACTTGGCGGTCTCTGATCAAGCGGTCAGTTCAGTTCTGGTACGAAGAGATGGAGACGGCTCAGACCACCCAATCTACTATGTGAGTAAGGCACTCCTTCCAGCAGAGAAGCGGTACATGCCTATCGAAAGAGCGGTCTTAGCGGTGGTAACGGCCGCTAGGAAGCTCCGCCCTTATTTTCAAGAGCACCAAATAGTCATCCTCTCAAACCTCCCGCTAAGAAAAATCCTGAAGGGAATGGACGTGTCAGGTCGAATGACCAAGTGGGCGGTCGAACTTAGTGAGTACGACATATCATACGCCCCGAGGCCCTCCATCAAGGGACAAGTATTAGCGGATTTCATCGCCGAAGGCTTCAGTTTGGACAGCAGGGAGGAGGCCGAAGTTTGGCGCCTATTTGTCGACGGAGCCGCTGGAAAGGGAGGGGCAGGAGCAGGAATTGTCCTTGAATCGCCTAAAGGAGTGGTCCATGAGATATCCCACCGGTTCCTCGAGCTGAAGACCAACAATGTAGCGGAGTACGAAGCGCTCCTCACCGGGTTGAAAATCGCAACCAACCTAGGGGCCTCACACATACACATATACTCCGACTCTTTGTTGGTGGTCAATCAGGTTCTGGAGAGTTATGAAGTGAAAGAAGAAGCGCTCGTCAAGCTTGCAGGGGCGGTCAAAGGGGTATTGTCTCAGCTAGACTATTGGAAATTAGAGCATGTGAAAAGAGAAGACAATCACCATGCAGACGCCCTTTCCAAATTGGCAACCGCCATGGATTTCGAAGGGGAGCGCCAAATAACGGTAACAAAGGAAGTGGTCACGGCAGGAGAAGTGCTGGCTCTAGAGGAAGAGAACCTCGATTGGCGGTCCCCACTGATCAACTATTTGCAAAGCGACGTCGTTCCTGACGACGCAGTTTCAGCCAAGGCGCTAAGAAGAAGGGCCGCCCACTACGCCATGGTAGAGGGACAGCTGTGCAAGAGGTCTTTCTCAGGGGCATACTTGAAGTGTCTCGGTCCGGAGGAA